CATGGACAAAACTTTATTTTATTTTATTAAAAGTGCTTCACTAAGAAATATGACTTTTTGTATGTGAAAGACTTGTAATATTAACTGAAAGACTGCCAAGTTTCATGAAGATATACCCAATATATTGAGAGTTATAGTATTAAATTTATGTCAACTTTAAACGAGTACAGAAGGTCACGTGACTCGGTCCCAGGGACCGATCCCTTGTCGAAAGATTTAGGGGCTATAGGGCAAAATTATAGGTGAAAAATAATTGGCCAAAATGTTTTTGAGATAAAAAATAATACCCAGGTGCACACCCTCAAACTATCCTTAGTATGCATGCAAAGTTTCAAATATTTAGATTCTTTTCTCTTGGAGCTATGGCACTGACAGATTGACACACAGGCTATTTTATTAGTATAGATGTCTGTCAGTAAACTTGTTATCAAACTATAGTTTATAATTCAAATATTTGTATTATTTAAGTTTCGATTGTTTAATTTCAAAAGGTAAAGTTTAAAATATTTTCAATCTTCACGTTTCAATTTCACGTGATGCATCTGTGCTCCAAGTTCTCCGTGTCGTCATTAATAGACTTCCGCAATTTGTACCAATGTAGAATCACACAGTCTATAGCTAATTACTAGCAAGAGCTGTTGAGTTGCTGAAGTATTGGAGAATTTCTCATTTCTTTGTCTTTCAGTATTGATTACTGATCACCTTCACATGGCCAGTGGATGTGTTTATAACCAATAGAAAAGCAGATTATTATCTACATAAAGATTACTACAGTCATTTCTTTTTGGTGGGTGTACGTACACGGTCAATAGACTATTATACTCTGAACAGCTAACAGAATTTTTTTTAACCTACTTGTAGCTTAGAGAAAGCCAGATAGATTATAATAGTTTTGGGACATTCTATTCTAGGGACTAATATATCTTTGTGTTTTAAAATGCATATTTGAAAGATGTGAATTTTTATCTGGACAACCAACTTAATAAGAAAAAAATAATGAGTCCTATCACAGCTATTCCTGCAAGTGAGGAGATCACCAGGTCATAGACTCTGCTTGTGACGTTTACAAAAACAGCTACTGGGCTACCACTGTGATTTATTGCTTTTCACAGAGGGAAAAATTGTTTATGTGGGATAAAGTGTGTCAATAAAGTCATAAAATAAAATAAAACATATAAAAACTTTAACCGTAGAAATTGTGAAGATACGTAAGTCTGAAACTCTAGACAATTAGGCATTCAAAGAAGAAGAAAAAGGTATTATTCATTTTATTTCATATTTTTCAACTTTTAATTTCACTGTCCATTAATGATTTTGCTACAGTTAGTGTTAGGGTAGAAAATAAGAGATAAAGAGTCACATTTTAATGAAAAAAAAACAATATTCATTTTGGAGGTTTTAGAGGTTATGCAAATGAAATATGAAAATCACTTTTCACTTGAACTGACTCAGTAAATGCTTTGTCAAATCAAAGAGACATCTTTAGTAAATAAACTATTAAAAATCTGATTTTTTTTATATATGGCAGACTTGTCATGTTTAATAAAATGTACTAAGTGTATCTTCTTTACAATACTTAGTAAGATTTTGAGTTATAGTATGTGTAGTTTTATGATTACAGGATGGTTACAAAGTGGAAAAACACCAAGCACATATATAGATGGTTAAGCACTTTAATTCTATTGACATGAACTAAATCATTTTGACTGATCTTGCAAACACAAGGTAACTATGAAAGTATCCGTACTATAACTTTCAATGTAGTAAGTGTATCTTCACAAAATTTGACAAGCTTTTAGTAAACGTTACAAGTCTTTTATACACAACCAGATATTTTAATTATTTTTATGAAAGATTTGTCTATGAATATATGGAGTCAGTATGTGACTTAGACTTACTAGTCTGAATGCTTGGTAATTTTCATGTTAAAATTAAAAATACCTTTGTTTTTCATCATATAGTTTTGAAATTTCATTTGTATAACCTCTTAAAGCCTCCTAAATGAATATCCAATGTTTTTTATTTCTTTTTGGAAAAACGTTGTATTTTACCTGTTATTTTCTCTACCTTAACAATTTACAGACAAGATCAATTTGACCAACCTTGTAACCACCACAAAAAAATATAATGTGAAATCTATAAATTTTCTTTCTAGGATCACAGCAGATTGTAATAGAAAATTAGAGTTATTCATTCTAAACAGTTTAATTTCATAACAGTCTACATCTCTTTATTTAATGTTATTGTCTTATTACTCTTTGAATGATGTCTAATAATCCCATGATACAAGCTTTAAATCATGCTACAATGCATAGCTTAACTTATAGTAATGAATGATGTAATGCGTGAGCTAGTTGCATTTTTTTACTGTTTCTTTTCATTATCTAACCCATTAGGTTTCTAGTTTTTACATTTTAATCATTTTTCTAATAACAGATAAATAAAAATATACATAAAAAAATAGAACTTAGTACTTATGTTTGGCTTCTTGTTTTTTGTTGTTGGCTCATCGATGAAACTTAAAACTACTTTTTTTTTAGTAAGGATGGTACTAGTGCATTAAATAATTTTTATTTATTTGAAATATAACTTAAGAATGCAAAATAATAATGCATACAAAGCTAACAATATCTAGTAACTAATATAATCGAACTGGGTTTCTAACTGAAACACAGATGCTTTAAAATATTTCCCTTAGCTGGTTTATTTGAACTTGGTGATAGCAACTTTCAATCTGTAGGTGGAATAAAATTTGATACTAACAACAAAGTAGCATTATATGTTATTCAGTAAATTAAAACTTTGTCTTTCGATTGAGTACAAACGATGCAATAGCAAACGTCAAAGAGAATTATTGGCAATTTATGAAAGAGAAGGTGTGATAAGAGGGCATGGCAACTGGGTCTGACCTTCTGGCTTATATCTCCATAAACAAAGAAGATTAAAAGCTATAGAAATTACTGTGCCTTAGTAATATCTATACTATAATGAGTAACTTACTTTAAGCTTAGGACACGATAGGGGAGTGATGAAAAAAATAAAGAAATGGGCAGTTGGAACAAACAAGTATAATGTTACACAGATAAAGGGAGATTAAGAATGTATTTAAATATATTTTTTTACAATTAACAAATTAACTCTTACATAATATTATAATCTTATTCCTTAACTACATTTTGATGCCAAGTTTATTCATATATATTGCAACAAATAAAGTTAGTTTGTTGAACAATGTTTTGAGAAACAGCCCTTCATCTGGTCTGAAGTTGGAATGCAACTGATTCTCAAAGAAAGTATTTAATAAAATAGTAAATGCTGACTTGCATTTACACAAATAAGTGAGATAATGAGTAATTCATCTATATTTTTTTTATTATGTGAATTTACATTTAAGCCTAACAATGACATAGTGCTTCCTACACTTCTAAAAAAAGGAAAATCAGAATGGTTTACGCAGTTTGCATATATTTCTCATGTGCAGAGTATAAACTTCATACATATAAATAGACACATACAAATGTATTTAAAGAAAATTGTATATGGTAAACTATAATAGTAGCCTATTTATAATATCTATCTCATAAAGTACATGTTCATGTATGGTATGTCAAAAATTTGAACATAATATACAAGTGTAAAATGGTAAAACTGCTAACCTTTAAAGCTCTTGAAGTTACAATGTTAAAGTAGTAAAATGGTGAAACTACTGACTTGTAAAAGTATTAAGGTTATCAGTATTAAAGTATAGACTTTTAATTGAAGATTACCACAGATCTATGAAGAGTACAAACATACAATACAGAATGCTGATGCTATAAAGGATCTCAAGTGGTGGTCACACAACCATGGGATAGGAATGGCCATGAACTGGCCGCAGTTTGAGGTTGGTGATTTTGTAATTTAACTGTAAAACGTAATGTAGATTTGTATATTTTTAAGTGTTCAGTATTAAACAGTGTATGACATATGCTGAAATTATATTCTGATACAATATTTTACTTCCACTCACAAAATAGCTTTTCTCGATCAGTACTGCCCTGTGTCGGTGCAAATTTTCAATGCTCGCCACTAGCCTTCCATCTCCCACTTCTACATATCCACATTATACAACAGCTCTCCACCAATAGGAACATGACACAACCTCTATCATAACCAGTGTCCTCACTATATTTGCACTCATTAATCACTTCTCTATTGGCAGTAGCACTGTACAGACTTGTTGGCTCAGGCAATTCGCTTGTCTCCTGAAGGATTTTCTGATGATGTTCACAGTCTTCTGTTTACTACAATTACACACCTTTCATCTTTGGCCCTGAATCTTCATACGTGGCTAATATGCTGTTGAGACCTTCCAGGTCAGGATCCCATTCTTTCTTGAGTACATTTACCTGCTACATCCCGGTGTGACTTGCACATGGCACTTTTTTTACATGAGAAAGTATTTGAGGATTTTCATAACTCATTGGAGGCCTGAGTTCAATCTGCTTGTCTGCATATTTCGCTATTCTTATTAGCTTCACGTTTATCCCAACCTCCTCCTACTCTTTTTGTGTCTTGACCCCATGCAACTTTTTGCCAGTTCCATCTTCTCATTCTTCATCCATTCCCAGTAAAGTTTTTACTCACAGGTGTTTCAGAAGATTTCAGAGTCAGTGATTCAGGGCCAAGTGGGGGTCAGACTTTTACATTTTTGCCATATGTGGACACCATTTACAACAGACTCGTGGGTTCTACAGGTTTTTTCAGAGGGTCTGACTCTTCACTTCCATTCCCCTCCCCCATTGTCTCCTCATCCTCTTGCCTTCCCTCCATCAAGGGATCCTGTTTCTTGTCAGCATCTACAGGAAGAGGTTTGGGAATTACTTTGGAAAAAGGCTGTAGAACTTTGGGAACCTTCTCAGTTGGCATTTTACTCAAGTCTGTTTTTCGTACCCATAAAGACTGGAGATTCATGACAGGTTATAGATTTATTGCCCCTGAACCGTTTCGTGGTTGTGCCCAATTTCATGATGGAGTTTTGCTTAACCCTTCTGTGGGTTTTCACTCCCAGGTTATGTATGACAAAGGTCGATGTGTCATATGCCTATCTACACATTCCCATCTCCCAGGCATCCCGGAATTTCCTCTAGTTTGTTTATCAGGGATGTGTTTATAAGTTTCAGGCTCTACAGTTTGGCCTGGCTTCAGCTCTTTATGCCTTCTGCCAAGTAGCCATGTCATTTGCTCAACTGCTTCATGCCAGAGGCCTTCATTTCCACCATTACATGGACGACTGGCTATTTTTGGCTTTCTCTCAGGTCAGATCTGCTGTTCATACTCAGTTTCTTTTTCGAGAGACTGCCAGAATGGGTTGGCTCATCAAGGTGGAGAAGTCATTTCTCACACTCACACACTATCTGATTCATCTGGGTGTGTTTTTTACAATTACCTCATCAGCTGGGCTCAACCTTCTTCCCTTCGTTTATGGGATATGGAACATCTCATTCAGTCTATCAGTCTCCCTCTCCTGCTGCACAAGAAACCCTATCTCTTATGGCTACATGGGCTTCTTTTGAAGGCCACGTTCCTCTTGGCTATGCCCATGTTCTTCACCTTCAGTGGGTGTTACTTGACTAGTGGAGCCTCATTCGGGATCCTTTAGTTGCTCCTATTACCCTGCCTCCCCACCTGCAGGCTGACTTTGATTGGTGGTTGGATCAGACCAATACTACCATCAGAGTTCCTTTTCCACTTCCTCGACCAGATTCTCATCTTTTTACAGTTGCTTCCCTTATGGGTTGGGGTGCATATCTCAATGCTTAAGAAGTTTCATGTCATTTGGCACTGGCCATATCATCTCCAACATATCAACATCTTAAAGTTGGTGGCAGTTCATTGTACTCTGCTTCTCTTCTTGTCAGATGTTCGGGGGCGTTCCATGATGGTCCACTTCAACAATTCCACGGTAGTGTCTTATATCACCAGGCAAAGGGGTACCCAGTCAGAAGATCTTTGTTTTCAAACATTGAATCTCCTCTACTGGGCTCACAATCATCATATCAAAGTGTTCACAAGTCATATTCTGGGTGCCCTGAATCTGGTCGCGGAAAAGTATCTCAGCCCAACAAGATTCTCCCAACAGAGTGGTCATTAGTTTCATGAGTGTTTTGGAAGTTGTGTGCTCATTGGGGTTTTCCAGATGTGGATGCTTTTGCCACACATCTCAATGCACAACTTCCTTGTTTTTGACCTCCCATTCCTCATCCTTTAGCACTAGCTGTAGATGCTTCCAGTCAAAACTGGAAGGAATATTACTTATATGCATATCCTTCTATTTGTCTTCTTCCCAGGGTCCTCTATTTGTTTCAGGCCACTCTGTGTCTTGTGCTCCTAGTGGCTCTGTTCAGATGTGGTTCCACTTCTGTGCAGGCTTTTGATGTCTTCTCTATTTCATTTGCTGTTATCTCCCATGCTCCTTCTTCATCCTTAACCAGACGTACATCATTCATCCATTCCCGCCCCTGGCTTCATGAGTGGCTTTTGTCTGGTCCCTCGTCAGATGCCCCCAGTGGCACAGCGGTATGTCTGCAGACTTACAACACTAGAAACCGGGTTTGGATACCCGTGGTGGGCAGAGCACAGATAGCCCTTGTGTAGCTTTGTGCATAATTAAAAACAAAGCCTCGCCAGACAGTCTGGATTTTCAGGTGTGTTGCTTCATTGATTGTTCATCCTATAAGCCCTTCCTGCTTGGTGGTTTATTAACCTAAATGGTATACTTTCTGCTGATGATTACTCTGCCTGGGATATGATCTTTCTCTACCTTCACTCCCACAGTGGACTATATTTTTCATTTTGCTCTTTGATAGAGGGCGGTTAGTTTCCTCAATTGCTGGCTATTGAGCTGCTTTATCTTGTAGTTTTAGATTTACTACGTTTGCCTCTGTCTTCCGCTCTCCAGTGTTATTTCATTCATTTTCCCTTTCCTGTCCTCCTCACCTTGTGCCTCTCCTGGATTGGAATCTCAATGTTGTCCTTCATGCTCTCCCTTTTCCTCCATTTGTACCTTTGTCTTCATGTGCTCTGTATCATCTTTCTGTCAAATCCCTATTCATCATATTATTCATTTGTGGCCAGAAGCGATCTGAGATTTTTGCAATTGACACTTGCCGTGTGCTGTTCGACAGTTCTTATGCTCTCCCCTTCCCTGACCATTTAATTTTGCCCAAGATTTCTGCTATTAGGAGGGTAATTCCACTTTTTCTCCAATTTCATTTTTTTCTGTTTTCCACTTTTATGACCACCTCTTGTGTTTGGTCTGGGCCCTTAGATGGTATCTCACTCACACTGCTCCCTTCCATGGTTCATGTAACTGTTTGTTTATTCCATGGAATCCTTCCGTATCCTGGGATCTTTCTCCCGTTACACTTACAATTTGGATTCAGCAGTTAATTAAGCTGGTGTATTCTTTCCTTTGCCTTTGGAGTGTCCCTTTTTTATGGTATCTTCTCATCAAATCCATCACCTCACCATGTCTCTGGCTGCCCATTTCCATCTTCTGTTGGAGGTCATCAATGGGGCCAGTATGTGGACTACAGTTTATAGCTTTACATCACATGGCCATTTCTTGCTCAGTGGGTTTTCATTTACCTCCATTGCCAACTTACACACCAGTGTCGTTATGACTAGTGTGTACTATGTTTTGTGGCAAGTGATGCCTAACTGAGTATACTATTTTAATTTTTTAAATCCACCCTGTCCATCCTGTGACCATGCTCGACATCAATTATGTTGTAGCTTTTCCTACCACAGACCTGATGTACAATTCCAGATGCTGCCTGGTGTTGGTTGATTGACTCCACTGATGTGGTAACTCTGCTTTTCAAAATAGGGTATGGTGGTTACCTGTTGTATTTCTCTGGTGATGTGGTTCTCTAGACTCTCCAACATGTTTTTCCCTCCTTTCTTCTAGTGGAATATGGGAGTTCTTGCCACTTACCAGTTCCTAGCTGCTGGGGTGGTGGACCATGGATGCATCATACCACTCAGTTGAGAGAAGGGCAATGACATATAGTACTTCCTACCATGGAACTGATGTACAATTCCAGATGCCACCAGGTTTTGGTTGTATTACTACACCATATTCATATATATATATATATGTATAGCAGATTGTTTTTTCCCACAGTAGCATTTTTCTTTCCTACATTTTCCTGGTGTACATTCCTAGTGGGTCTGGTGTTGGTTGGAGATGGCACAGTCATGATTCAAATCATGTTGATGGCGTGTTGTCCTTCCTACTGCAGACCTGAGGTGCAATTCCAGATGCTACCAGGTTTTGGTTGAAGCACTCCGTCATGTTACGACTATAATATATATCTATTGCAGTTTGCTCTTCAGGCAATTCATGGGGGTCAGGTGTTGGTTGGAGATGGTCCAGCTAAGTAAGTCCTCACATGTGTTGCCAGTATCCCTCCTCCTACAATGGACTGGATGAAAAATACCCAGTGCTACCAATGGACAGGAGACATACTCCAGGTTTGCAGTCCCTCATCCTATCGTCTGCTGACTGTCAGTTCCCAGCAGATCTGGTGTTGGTTGTAGTTGGATGCAGCACATGTATTCCCACTTGTGTATGGTTGGGTATCCTTCTTCCACAGACTGGAAGAAACATATCCAATGCTGCCAGGTTTTGGACAGTCTCCCCTCTCCCCAGCCTTCCACCAGTTCAATATGGGATTCTAACTATTTTGTGAAAGGAGGTAAGATATCATAACGTTTTCCTAAACTAAAAAAGTATTTTTGATAGATATTTACTTCCTCTCACCCAGCCTCCCCACTTCTGGTGATATGTAGTGTAGGTCCTATGACCAACCTTGAGTGCAACTGTGGAGAGGGCGCTGGGTACGATACAGGTTGTATTGTGCTCCTTTTGGTGGAGAGCTGCTGCATGATCATTTACATGTGGATATGTAGAAGTGGGAGACGGAAGGCTAATGACAAACGTTAAAAAATTTTGCCAACAGAAGGCAGTACTGATCGAGAAAAGCTGTTTTGTGGGAGGAGGTAAGTATCTATTGGAAATACATTTTCAGATTAAGAAAATGTTAACCTTGATTATTGTAAACTTTGTAAGATAACATTTTTAGTTTTTAAATCAAATATTTTCCCTGTAAAGCTAATTAAAATATGGCACTTGGGGTGTTTATCCTTTTCCTTTAAATCAACACAGTTTCTGTATCTTACCAGCTATTTTGTTTTCTAACCCGAAGATTCAGAAACTCTACCAGCAGGAATGCTATTCAGGTTTAGCATTCATGAATAAATTATTTTTCAGCTTCTCATTTGTCACATTGTTTTGTTATTTGGAACCCAGCAACTCTTGTCACTGATAAAGTTTTGCTTAGACTTATATTAAAGTATATTAGTAGTTTGTGAGATTATTTAAAAAAAATAAGCATTACAAGCTATGAGTGGTGTAATAAATATCATTCAGTTTTGATCAATTGTGATTTATGTAGTCAAAGTGCTCTTTAATTTATATCAAAGTGCTTTTTTAGTTCTGACATTCGGTGGTATCTCCATATTTCACTGTGTTAAGTGATCTAATTTAAGAGAACTGTACATAAAAAGGAATTGTAACCATAAAAGTGGGACAAATCATTAGTTGGAAAAAAAGTTTGTTGTATTAATTACTTTTAAAGTGATTTAGCAATTCTTTTGAAATACTAAAGGAACAAAGACATATCTTTGTGATTGTCATGCATTTATAAGAGGAATTTGTATTTGCAGTAATTCTATTTGTTAATGCTTCCTCTTCTGTCCACTTCACAATTCTTCCCCTTGAAAGGCTAACTCATTAAAGTAAAGATATTTTTCTCTCCCCCCCCCCATCTATTTTTTGCATCTTCTGTTGAGTTCTTTTTGTGTATTCCTCAGAATTAGTATCGATAATATTTGATTAGTTTTGTATATTTTTAGTTAAGCATAGTTTTTGCGACATCCTTGAAGTTATTCAAAGCTTTCTGCACAGGTTGGTTCTGTAGATATCCATATACACAGTAGTGACTATAGTATACTGTAGGTCTACAATGCTCATGTTTAATAAAGTTAAAAGACATTTTGAATTGGTAACAAAGGAAACTACTTATAAGTTTAACAGATTAATAAATGTGGGTTCCTCATCGCCAAATCTGAATGCATGTGTTTATTTGTTAATCAAGAACTTGTTAAAGAATTTTAAATAACAAAGATGCCTTGTTATTATTTATGTTTAACAAGTTGAAGTGATTAACTTTAACTATCATTTCATTATTTTGCAGTGTACATAAAATAGTAAGTAGTGAAGAATAAAGAGTGTCAGTAATTGTAGGATGAGAAAAAATGTATAGAACTTGGTCTTTATACCTAGTACATTATATACTATGTGTTATATTTTTTGGTCTGAAGCTCTGAGCAGTTGTGAAAGAATATGATACATTGGTTGAAATATCTTAGAAATAACTAATAGCATTATATTAAGTCTACATGAGGCAGTTTGGTTGTATTGCTAAACTTTTCTTGTATGCTGTTGTTATTAGTATGTTGCATAGTGTGTTTTTCCAAATGCTAGGGAATAAAATTATAGCAACATCATAAACTGTATTTTTAAGCTTTTTACTTTTATTATTAAAAGTACTTCACATAGCTGTTTTAATCTTCACTTTATAATGAAGAATGTTTTTCTTCATAATTTACATATTTCCATAGGGAAAATTTGTGAACTTCATTTAGATTTAAGATGATGAAATATATCATAGAAGTGGATTTTTTCTTTCATTTTTAATTCCTCAAAGAAATATTATTTTGGGTACTTACAACTTCAAAAAAAACTTTCATCAGTACCCACTAATAGGAATTTCCATTATCATATAATTTTAAGGATAAAGGGTTTAAATGTCGATTTCTTTTCTTTTTTTTGCTGATGCTTGTAGGAATATTCCGAGGAATTCCGTGATATAACAGGAAAGACGAAGAAGGGTGTAATGCTTGAAGGTGGCATCATGCTTGTGAATCAACAGAAACTCAAAGAAGACTTTCCAGTAATAATGATTTTATTATTTATCTCTGTTGACAGATCTTCGTGCATCTGGTGGTGGCTTTCTTATCCTGTCTCCTGGGCTTTTCCCCCATGTTATAGCATCTTGTGCGTTGATTGTTGTAGAATCCCTTCTCACATGTAGCAGCCTGTAGATAATCATTATAATCACTGTTATATAACTTAAACATAAGTAAGTTGTGGTTAAACACCAGCAAAGTGAGATTACTAGTAGCTGATGTTTAATTGGTTACATAGCAGTAAGCAAAATTACTTGGACCAAATGCTTTAGTTATAAAAGTTAGTCTTCACTAGAAGTTGACTATATAGCCCCGGAGTGTTATTCCTAGAAAAAGGTTAGTTAATCGGGTAGATAAAAGTGTGCATATCATGATTTATTTTACAGAATAACTTTCAAAACTTAATTAAACTACTCTATTATCAATGTATATGAACAAATTTGGCATAAAATGTAGTTAATAAATCAACTCTTAGTATTATATAAGTTTTAATTGAAAAATATTTAAATATATTTTCAATCTATTCTTGTCTGTGTAACATCACATTTGTTCACCCTGACCTGTCAATTTCCTGTTTTTCATCACCCCTCTATTAAGTCATGAGTTTAATGTATAGATAATAATAAGGCATAGTCTAATTTTTGTAGCATTCAATCTTCTTTGTTTAAAAGAGATATAAACCAAAAAATCAAACCCCCTTGCCACACCCTCTTTTTCACATATTGGCAATAGTTCTTTCTGTTTGCTATTGCATCAGTTATACCCAATTGACCAATGTATAATGTTTTCTTGTTATGAGTAGAATTTTTTAATTATTTTGCCTACAGATTCAGAGTTGCTATTACTGAGATCAGATCAAATAGCTAAAGGAGTTACTTTTAATACACTTATGCCTCAGTTAGAAAGCTAGTGACATTATATTAGTTATAGGCCATTTGTGCATGTTTTTATTTTGTATTCTTAAGTGCATATTTCAAATAAATACAAATTATAGTTACTAGTAATATCATTACAAGGAATTAGGGTTAACTTTCATCAGAGCACTTGACAACAAAGAAAAAACAAATGAAACCAAGTTACTAAAGTTTGTATTTTTTATTTATTGTTATAAGAGTAACTAGAATGTAAAAAATTAGAAAATTATTATATTATATGATATTAGGTTAGTTAGTGACAAAAATATCTATTTTGAGGTATGCCCACTAGTACGTTGTCATATTTACCATGTGATAATCATGGGATTATTAGGTAAACACAGTTCAAAGAGAAATAAAACTGAATGAAAACAGATGTGAAATGTTATGAGCCTTAAAGTGTTTAGGGTAAATAATAATTTTCTGTTACAGTCTAGTTATTCTAGAAAAGAAAAAAGATAACTTAGATTTATTTCATGTTTTTTGTTTTTTTTTGTGGTTACGAGATCGGGTAATTTGAAACAATTTGTATATGGTAGAGAAAATAGAAGATCAAATATATATATATTTTTATTGAAAAACTTTTGATATTCACATAGGATGTTCTAGAGATTATTCAAATGAAATTTGAAACTGTGAGATGAAAAAGTTTTTTAAATCTTAAAATTAAAATTGCCTTGCATTCGGACTAGTCACACCCTGATTTCCTATATTTACAGACAAATTTTTAGTAAAAATACTTAATCAAAGTAAAAAATTTATTTTTTGTGTACAAAAGACTTTTAGTATTTACTAAAAGCTTGCCTCTTTTCTTGAAGATATGCTTACTACATTAAAAGTTATAACGTATACTTTCATGGCTACCTGATGATTGCAAGGACAGTCAAAACGACAAAGCCAGTTTAAAGTTAATTATAAAATTTAACTATCAACAAGAGGTAGTTTTTTAACTAAGAAATATACTAGGAAATACTTTAGTTATAGATCTTGAGCATCAGTAGGAGCTGATTATGTAGCAATAAGTGACACAACTAGGAGCAGACTAGTTAATTGTAAAACTTATGCATCAATAGGAGTTGTTACATAGCTGTAAGTTGCTTTCAGAAGCAAACCTTTTATTTGTAGAACTTATAGCAGCCATACATGTTAATTACAAAGATAGTCTACTTTTTTTGTTTATCAATTCTAATTAAACTGGAATACTATAAAATGAAAACAGAGTTATATAACTTATAGATGTTGTTATAGGGAAAGAAAAAGTATTTAGAATTTTTTGTAGACATATGGAAATTAAAAAATATCCATGTTTCAGAGTTTTATTCACACTGGAGGAGATTTAGATATAATTTGTGTATTTTGGGGACTAAAAAATGTTGGGATGTTTGTATCACATTGAAAAGTTAATAACCATATTTATAGCTTTTAGGGGTATATTAATCAAAAATATTATACATCTTGAAATATTAATATTTTAACATAATTATACTTACAATAAAAAATGACTGAGTAATGTAACACTTTTAACAAATGTCAAGAAGTCTGATGAAAAAAATATTTCAAATTAATTTATTTTTGTGCTAAATTGATTATTACATTTTTATTGGCCAAATAAAAAATAATTAGATAAATAACAATTAATATTATTGTATATACACCTTATGCACTAATTGGCAAGATATTAATCATGTTATATTTAATAAGTAACTGAAATTAAACTACAAATGATGTGTATCTCTATACTGGTTTCTTGTTTTGTGCAAATTCCCTTATATTTATAGCTCCAGGGACTAGTTTCTTTATACGAATGGTGTGGAATTATTTCGGTAGCTTTGAGAGGAGTAAAGATATATTTTGTGATCTTAATCTCTTAAAAAATTATATATGAACTACTCTTGTTGATTATTACTTGTAAGTATATGAATTAGTAAAAAAATGGCTGTTATTGATATAGATAAGTAGTTGAATTAGAATTATTTAGTTTGTATTTTGTAAATATGATGGTAGCTATCTGTATTTGGCCAGTGTTTCCAGTACATATTGCTTATTCAGTATTTCTGTTAAATAGTAAAATGTTTTTGTTTGTTGTTTAAATAATGAATAATGTATGTAATGTTCTACACTGTTAGGCTTAGGTTAGCTTATAACTTTATTGCCTTCAAACAGCTCATTTCAAAGTTTACACATAAACATAAAAATTAAAGAATTAAAAATTTTCTAGCTCTTCCAAAGTTACTGTTCTGTCATAAATAGCATTGTCTTTCACACATGAAATTTGTAAACAAAACGGGACTTTCTACACTTAAATCCTTTTTGTATTACTTCTTTTATTACATTTTCAGCAACTGTGAAACATCAACAGTTTAGTGTATAATTGTAGGGACTAGAAATGTTCCTTTACAAGCTAGATAGGTAGTTGACTAGCTGTCTTTTTGTTCTTACTTGTAATATGCCAGAAGTTTTGTCCTCCAAACTTGTGAATGTTTTGCTTATGACTGCTCGTATTGATTAGCAAGTACTTTTAGACTTTATCCATTATCTCATTGGTTTCTTAATATAAATATTTTCACAGTCATATAATGTACTTATTAATTTAAATCTTGTAGTTTTAGATAAACCAGCTTCAAAACAAATTCTGTAGAATCTCTATGCTTGTACATTATTAATCAAGATTGTTTTTGTTTTGTTTTTACTTTCTTGCATATTCTGTTATCTTAATTCATTATAAATCCTTGATCAGAAAATGACCTACAATGTATATCACAATATCTATTAAATTGAATGTGTCGTTAAATAGGAGTGCTATTTAGTTACTATTATATTTTCGAGTAAGTATCATAATTAATTCTACAGCTAGGGTTGATTGAACGGTAGGCAGCAAAAGGTTGTTATTAATGACATGAAGTCACAGTGGATTAGCATTGCAAGTGGTATATCTCGAGATTTTGTATTAGATCCTATGCTGTTTCTTGTTTTAATTAATGATGCTAATAATGAAATAATCAGTAAATTTGTAAAGTTTGTAGATGATATTAAATTAATGGATATTTCAAATTGTATTGAATGTGCTATAGTGTTTCAGAGCAATTTTGAATATTTGGTGGGTTAGACTAACACCTGCGATAGGTTGTGTCGTAATGGTTATCACAACATTAATTATTCTTATGGTCGTGCTGGGAAAACTGAAGTTGATGAAGAAAAAGGTGTGAGCAAAGCTATTACAAAAGCTTTTGTTAACAATAAGGCAAACGGGATTTTAGGTTGTATAAATAGAAATATTGAGGATAAACCAAAAGAGGTCATTAGTTAGCTATAAAAGTTGTGCTAGTCTGACCACATTGGGAAAATTGGGGTGGTCATTTTGTTTAAGAAAGGATACTTGTTAAAGAGGATTCAGAGTAGAGCTACCAGGATTCTTTTATATCTGGATGGGTTATTCTATGGGAATACATTGAAATCTCATAACATGTTTTTTCTGGATAGAAGAAAAGCTTAGAGACACATGATGGAGTTTTTTAAGATCATTAGGGGCTTGAAATTTATAAATTGAAGTAACATTTTAATAACAAACTCCTGAATGAACTAAGTTTAAAATCTCAGACACAATTAAAGCAGTGTTACTTTTTAGTAAGGGTCAGCCTTTGGATTGATTTATCTTCAAGTGTGGTAGAAGCTGGAACATTAGAGGAGATTATATGTTTATTTTGGAGATTTAGGTTTGATATGGGTTTAAGGAATATAAGAGATAGAAGACAGAGATTCTATATGTAGTTTGTTGGTAGTAAAAAATGGAGTAACTTAGATGGACCAAATGGTCCCTCGATATATCTCGTGAAAATTAAATAAAACATAGAATCCTATCATCTTTGCCAGTTACCTTAAAAATGGCTCCAGAGTAAATAGTTTGAATGTGTTATGTTTATAAAGAAGCTATAACTATGGTCAGTGAAGCTTGAACACAATAAACACACATAATGAATTAAAATTGGAGTGATACCAGCAGAAAATTAAATAGTTTAAGTAATTTTAAATTACATATTTAAGCTGGATATGAAGCCGTCCAGAATTGAATTAAGAAACGTATAGAAATTTGTGTGTTTTAAATCAGATATTTCCACATCTATAATTTTCCTTGGGCTGTCCCCAAATTATATATTATAGAATTGTTTCACGATTTTGAGACAGTCTCAGTTGATTGGTAGATGTGGAAAGTTTTAAGTGACATAGATGAAACAGTTGTGTTAGTTTATAAAACCTCAAAACCTGGTGTTTGTAGGTTAATTCCAATACTCCTATAGGGATAAAATTAAAGATAAGTCTTCTAAAGTTTAAACATTTGAATGTTTTAAGATTGGTTAGGCTTGGCTTAGTGGTTAGGATGGCTGGTTTGTGAATCCAAGGATCCATGTTTGTTTACAGTTTTTTGCCACAGAAACGCTCACTGCACTTTTGTGTTGTATCACACAAAACCTTTTAGCAGACAAGGATAAGCTGACATCTTAACCTGTAATAGCCAAATGTTGAATTAATTTAGAATATTACCAACAAGCTAGTCTTTAAAAAAGAAAAAGTTTACCACTTTCACAGCTTTAAAGACTAGACATGCACTTCATTGGAGTGGAAAGAAAATTGTTTCAATTTACAAAATTTTAAAAAATAAGTAAACCTTTTCTTCTACATAAAGAGTTTAAGTCATTTACATGAAAATCAAGTGTTTATTCAAGAAAATGTATCAGACAACTGTAGACCTTTTAGATTTTATATGATATTAGGATGTCCATTTGACCCCCACCCCTGGTTATGCCCTTCTTTGTGTTATGAATTTAGCCTAGTTTGTTTTTCATTTTGCTAACTTATTGCAGATTATTAAATGTTATGCATAACTGTTTTATTATTCAAATATATGGACATTTTCATCCAAATTTGCTTTTAAGCCAACTTTGTAATGGTTGTGTAGTCTTCTGTTGACTTTGAAATTAAGAAATTCAGAGTTTTACATATTTCCATTTTTAAATTGAAATAGAATGCCTATTCCAGTATCACAAATTTGAACCCTAGTAGTGTACACTCTATCTCGTAGTGCATTTAAAACAGAAATGTAGACCGATGTGGTTATCATTTGTGTTTGTGTGCGTGCAACGTACCTTCGACCTAAACATGTGTATGTCTTCTTTAAGGACAGCATAAGCATTATTAATAAATATATTCCTTCAGAAAGAGAACCACCAAGAAATTATTGAAATTAACTTTTTTTTTCTATTTGTAGTACATCTGATAGCCTTGATATCTTTCTAATATTTCTTTAAATTGTGTGAAAACTTTACAATGGTTAGATTTCAAAAATTTGAAATTTTTTCATTATTATTATTATTATGACTTTTACATTGTATCACAGAAGAAGAGAGCAGGTATTAAGGTTTTATCATGTTATTTAATACACAAATGGTCTGCTTTATTTAGTGACTAGAAACCATGCTCGTATGTACTCGGAATGGCTAGAGGTTGCTGCTGTTTAAAGAAAATTTCAGGATTTGTATATGCAGTTAATATCCTAAAGGGTTTTCTCTCAGCTACTTGGTATTCAGTTGTAGTTTTATTCCATTTTACAGGAATATTCACCTGAATTACAAAGTATTTCTAAGAAGGATAAAAGAGGAAATTTCAGTGATTCAGGCGTAATGTTGACGAATATCAACCATAGAAAAGAAATTCCTTCAAAAGATACAAATAAAGATACTTCAAACCGTAATTCTGCTGTGAGCTCGTAAGTAAAAATCACCACAATTTTTTTGATTGATTAGCATTTCAGGTGTTACTTATGAGGAGGCTGTTTAACTTTGTTATTCAATATGAAAAAATGCTATTGGTTATACTGACTTGAAAGATGGAAAAGAACATTCGATAACTTGTATACAGAGTTAAAATACACATATACATATGATAATTTTAATTTATTCCTTCATAAATGTATTAGAGGAAGAAAGAAAAATAGTATAATTTTCTTCCAAGAAAGAATGAAATTTTTAGTGATTCATGACATATAAACAACACGTATTGTTTGTTTTATAATCAACTTTAGTCCTAGGTTTTTACTAAATGAGTATCTGATTTTGACTCAAAATATTTAATTAGTAATTGATAGAAAACTCAACTACTGTGTAGGTTTGAATAAAAAGTTAGATATGTTCTTGTGTGTGATATATGAAGTTACTAGATGAGATTACATGATGACAAAAGTGTTTTTGACCTAAAAAGTTTATCAAATAAGTTCATTGTTCTTCTTCATGACTAGTGAATAATCCACATTGACAATGAAGATATTATAATTGTCTTTATTCACATTGTTCTTCTTCAAATAATATCTTTTTTGTCAGTGTGGATTATTCACTAGTCATTGGCTTTATTCACATTATTGTCCTTCAAATAATATCTTCATTGTCAGTGTGGATTATTCACTAGTCATTGGCATTATTCACATTATTGTCCTTCAAATAATATCTTCATTGCCATTGTTAATAATTAAATATTGAGAAATATTATTGTTGAGTAAAGATTTAAAAACAAGTAACTTTTTTTATATTAACATCTAAAGTTTATGTAAAGATGAAAAAACTTTATTTCTGTATTAGGTAGAACATTTATATTCTTGTGTGACTGATTTACATGATATTAGTTGGCTCATTAGGTTAGGTTAGGGGCACTATGGCTTCCAATTTTGGACTTACAGTTGAATGGTTGAGAGTTCAAGACTGGCTCATGTCATGATGTTGTGTCCTTCAACAAGATACTTTGCCTCAATCGTTTTAGTCTACCCAGCTGGCTGAAGGGTACCATTTGTTAGCTGGGGCTTAACCTGAAATGGACGGGCATCTTGTCCAGGAGGAATGTGTGATCAGTCTGTTCTGCTCGGCACCAGATCCTATGTGCCATCTAAGTATGGAGGGATTTGACCTTGAGCAAGTAAAGTTAGATAAAGTTTTTAGAACTTTCATCTGTTTATAAGATTCTACTTAGGAAAATAGTTAATCAGCCAATCAGGAACACTATAGAGCAACTTCAAGATTTCAGTTGATAAAGTGAGCCAATTCAAAGCTGTTTATTAACCCCTTGCTTACCTTAGGGCTGTAATTGGTACATCCATTATTTCTATTTCTGAGGAGAGATTTTCCCTTGATGCTGAGAATACAAACTGTCTTGTCATGAAATGTTCATTTTCATATGACCGTATATATGTACACACACACAGAAAGAGATTTGTGGTGTCAGGAAAGAGTTCTAACAATGACAAAAGTAACAATAGGTTCATTGAATCAAAACAAAAGTGCCTTCTATTCTGTATCGGTATATTTAGCCAAGGGTAACTGAATGTTGCCATCTCCTTTTGTGTTAACTTGTATTATCTACACTCTTAATAAATATGTATTGCTTTAATGATTGCCAATTAGATGAAAATTGTTTAACTATTCATTCAAGTTTTTTATTGAAAATAAAAAACGTTTCAGGAATGGCCAAGAACAAAATCCTTTTGATGAGGAAAATGATGACTGGGATGACTATAATAATGATGCATTAGTTGATAATGGTGAACCTGGAGTGGCTGTCAGAGCACTTTATGACTATGAAGGAGCTGAAGAAGATGAGTTAAGTTTCCAGCAAGGTTAGTGTTGGCTATGATGTTCTGTTAATTGTCTTCTTATTCGAAGGGGAACTGGGGGGGGGTGCCTTTATATTGATAAATGTACCTCATTATATAAACATAATTGGTCATTTTGGGTAAATTTTTCCAACTTTATCTATTCAGAATCTCTGTCAAGTGTAAAAAAAAAAGAAAAAGCATCAACAAAATATGTGTACATGTAATAATTTTCAGCACATGATTTTCTTGTTGATATTTTGTATGTGTCCTACCATTTCATAAGTGTCTCAGAGCTGTTTTTTATGGCAGAACTCACGAAATCTGAACTCTAGGTTTTTTGTTTTTAAAATTTGATGATATATTAACTTCTTATGAAAGCAAGATAGCTACTTAGATCAAAACTAAAAAAATTAAAACAAAATGAGTATAATTAATTAAATATACTACTGCTCATACTTATAAAGATTATAATTCTTGGTTTAATAAGCCTGGTACCCTTTCTTGTTAGCCTAATACTTTAGCAACATTAATTTCACTAGTGCTTCACTTACTGACATGATACTATTTAGCAAGTGGCTACCAGGAATAAATTGCATATAAAAAAATCAATAGATATGGTGTTCTATGTGTCTATCCAAAGAAACGGTAACTTGTATGTAAATGTAAGGCTTCTAGTATTTCCTTTTCATAATATTAAGATGAATCATCCTTCTGTTCTGGAATGTGTCATGTTAGTTCAGTGAGATTTATGCATATGACAAGGACTTTTCTTGTAAGCATACAACTTTATAAAAACTTTTGCCAAAATTCCAGTCTGTAGACTTAATTTCTGATTTATAGAATAAAGGATAGTGGGAAAATGATTCTTGTTTGAGATGATAGGGGTTGAGTAGTAATAATGTTATTAACATAAATTGAGCTAAAAAATCCATTACTTTCCAATCTACAAAGAGAACAGTTCACATATTTAAGAAATTATATAAAACCATATCAAGATTCATGTATATCTGAAAAATAATTTATAATTAATATGTCACAGTAACATAAATAAAAAAATTTAGAAGAAAACATTTAAAACCAATGTAGAATGGATGTATTGAAGAAATAACATAATTTTCGTAAGTAACTGAGAAGAGAAAAACAAAGCATTGGTATATGTCTTTAAACAGAGAACATTGGAATTCTTGTAAATATTTTGTAATATGTAATACGAATAAACTTTAATAAAGCCATGATAAGTTGTTGTTTTTTTACAATGATTAGTAATACTTACCACTAGCACAAAATTGGACAACTGTAGTTTGGGATATAACATTAAAAAAATATATTGCACAACTGTTTGTCATCATAAAAATAAACTAATTTTGGAAACACGAACTTTCTGGTATTTTTTCTTTTAATTCGTTGAGTGTTCAGCCTTTCATTTGAGCTATTTTTGAGTCTTCTACTCACAGAAACTTTGTTGATGCTGAAGATCAATCATTCTTTCAAAAGCTTTCTTTTTCTGGGTTGTAACATAAAGCAATACTAACCTTTGTATACTTACTACTGAATTACTGTTTGTTGTTTGCAACTGTCATACTGTTATTAAAGTTTTTGAATACGTAAGGTGTAGTGAAATAGATTTGATTTACATTTGCTGGTTTGAAAATACAATGTACAAGAAAGAAAGTAAATGTTCTTAAAGATATTGTTTAAAGTTATATAAATTGTTGCTTTACATATAAGTATTTAGTAATTGATGGAGAAACTACATATTGACTGATAATATATACACATGCACATTCATCTAAATATATTTGTGTGTGTGTGTATATAGAAGTTATATTCAAGGATGTGAAATGTGCAGTGCTATTACTCTTCAATAGTTTTCTTTCCAATTGGACACACAGTTTCACCATTGCCACGAGTTTTTAAAACTTCCAGTAAAAATGATTGCTTATATTATCTAAAGCTAGAATATGTATTCATATAATTTCTGAATTTTAAACACTTGTATAATTGTAAAAATTCTGTAATTTTTCCTCGGTTGCCTTTAAAATATGGTGAGAGAAATTTTAATTAAATGTGATGAATACAAATAGAACATACCAAGAGACAGAAAAATACAGACTTGGATGTAAACATTCACGAAAATCCAACTTGTTGGATGTTGTACTAAATTTAGTCATTCTCAGTTGAATGAAGAGAAAAATATTTCTGTGTCTTGCTCTGGTTACTGTAAACTGAAAAGGGATGGAAAATATATATGCACATATGTGTAAGTATGATATGTAAATATATAACTGTAAAACGTTTACTAGGGTACTTAAAAGCTTTGGAAAGGGAAACTTAAACCTTAGAACGTTTGATAGGAAATTGTGGGTGCCAAATTTATTTTTATTCGTTGATACATTGGAAACTATTAACTGTATGATCTTTATGTCAAAAGAAAAGCTACATATATCTCCTTTTTTCAATATATTTTGCTTATTCTTAAACTCGGCAATAAAAGTATAAAAAATTTCCTATCACCTTGTATCAGGGCATTGCATCCATCCAACTACAATCTGTTAAATGACAGTAGAAATAATTAAAACAAATAAAAACAAAAATTACTTGCTCTTTCCACTGAGTTATTGCTATTTAAAAATAATTTCTTGAACTTATTTTTCTTAAAACATAGAACAGTAAATAAAGAAGTAAAGCAAACAATTATATCTTCTAGTTACGACCTTTGTACTAAGTTTGAATGCGAGTCAACAAACAAGATGAGCCTTTCATCCGTGACCTGTCTCTAAAAAGAGTTAAAATACAGAAATAAAGATTAATAATAAAAAGTCTGTTCTTTGTGTCACAGAAACAAAATTGAAACATTTTGTCATCACCATGTTTTTAAAATATGAAAAAATTCCTCCCAAATATTCTTTTGCATTATTTTCTTTAAGTTATTCTTGAATTGATACATTGATTAAGCTGTTAACATATAATAATGAAATTCTTTAGGATTAAACATCACCTATCGTTGGTGTATTCTTGCTTCGAGTGTGTTCCTTTTAACCAAGATTTATCTTAGTCATTTTCAGTTCTTTCGATATAAAAAACACATTGATTGTAATAAAGAGAAGAATTATCAAATATTCTGTTTACAATAATTTGTAGTAGACTTTTCATACTTGTAAAGAATAGGCTGAAAAACTTATCGTGTTCCAGCCTACTGATAATCCTTGATGGGTTAGACAAATATAAGGGTGCACAAATTCTCAATCAGTGTGGTTATACTTAGTAAGTGGATAAGTGGGAATATATATATATTGTGAAAACCTTGACATTTACCTGCACGATCCTAATTTACAGAATCATGTTAGATTTTGTTACTGATCAAAACTGCTTCACTCTTTTGGAAAAATTTATGAATTAGATTACATAATCACCAAACTAATCTGTCTATGAATTGTCACGTAAGAGAAACTCCATTTTTTTGTATGTGTGTTCTTAATAACTTATATCTTAAATTTGGTTCACCGAGTACTTAAAAATCAACACATATTTTGCAAAGGTATTTGATGAGCAGAAAAACAAGAAAAATATTTGGTCCCTAAAATGATCTTTTCATTGGATTAAACAATGTTTTAGTCATCGCATGTTAATGTTTTATTGTCACTGTGTACTTTGATATGTGTTCTATAGTAGTTTTCCCTGAAAAAAAAAAGCTTTGCCTTTAAAAGAATAAATCTCCGATTTGTAGGTTCTTAATTTGTTCTGTAACAAAATTAAATAATTCAGACAAAATATTAGGATTTCATTATTCTGATCTGTAAAAGTGGATGAGGTAGGGAATAACATCAGGTGTGTTACCAAATAAAAAAATCCGTCAATATAATAAATATATATAAATGTATAATGTTATGAGATTTAAGCTACTTATTCCAAACATTTTTTGTTTTCGGGTTATAATTTGTAGTTATTCTAAAATGAAAAAAAGGCATAATTTATATTTATTTCCTTTTTGTTTTTAACATAGTTATGAGATCGGTCAAATCAATCAAACCTGTACTGAGATTCGTTACTGAAAATAACAGATAAAATATAATTTTTCTTAAGAAATGTTTGATAATTATAAAGATTTTGCATGTGAAATTTGAAATTTTTCTGATACACAAAAGTATTTTTAATCTTAAAATGAAAAGCTACTTTGCATGTTGGATAGGCAACATGTGAAAAGAAAAAAAAAGGCGTGAGAAAAACATTGCTTTACAAACCTTGAGACTTAATAAAAGCATTTGATATTTTGCGTATGAAAGCATTGTAATGTTTACTGATAATCTGCCAAATTTTGTAAACATATGCTTACTAATTTACAAGTTATAGCATGAAAACTATAACAACACAAAATGGTTACGAAGTCAGTCCCAGATCTGTCTACAGTGGACAGTGTAGTGGTAAAAAACACAAAAATGCTCATACAAAACTGAAAATTTTTCTATACCTCCGCATGAACCTAATGAACCTCCATACCAATTTTGGTGAAGATCCATCCACATCCTGCCAAGTAGTTATATGGACATACAACAGACAGTACTATTATATTTATATAGATTTATACTACATGTTATTTTCATTTACGAGTGCAAAGTAATTTTCATGATAAGAATGACTCCATCTGAAAATTTTCAAATATCATTTGCATTACTCTGAAAACCTCTTCAGTAAATATCAAATTGGTTTTTTTTTTAGTTTTTTTTTTTCAGAAAACTTTGTATTTTATCCGTTATTTTCTTTACCCTGACCTCATAACCACCATAAAAAAATTAAGAAATAACTATAAATTTCTCCTATTTTCTTTCTGGAATGACTGCAAGCTGTAAAAGAAAACCACAGTTGTTTATCGTAAGTAGCTTAAAGCTTGTAACAGTATACATCTATTTATACTTACATTTTATTGTTTTATTACCCTGTGCAAATTATGAATTGCAAATCACATGTTGAACATGCAGCTCACATTTCGGTATCAAATTACATAAAGCACGGACTACTCGTGAGCATACCTCATAAAAAAATTTATTAATATTATTACTTAGTCTTAAATTTTTACATTTTAGTTACTTTTACAATAAAGAATATGTATGAAAAATAAAGTACTCATCTGGATCTTTTTTGTTTTTGCTCTTGACTGTTTGATGAAACTTAACCCTACTTTTTATACTAATTGTACTACTGCATTAAATAATGCACCAAAGAACACAGAATAGTAACATGCAAAAAGGAAACAATGTTTCATAACGATCACTTATTTTCTGGCTTTCTAACTGTGTAACAAAAGCCATTAAAATTCAGTAGAAGGTCAAAGAGGCCACAGATATTAGGTAGTATTTCCTTAACTCCAGAGATGACAGCAGCCCATGGCTGATCTTTCTTGCTTTACCTGGTGAAATTAAGTAATGAAATAGATGTTGAAAATGTATCAGAGAGACCGTCATGAGAATTGTATTATTATTCCTGTTTTTAAATCATTATTTTGTGTTTAATTGAAGTTACAATTTTATATTATGCAGTGTTTTATTGATAATCAGTTCGGCTCTCGGAATCAGGCCGATTATTGCATAATTGGAATCAGTGGAATTTGTCAGGCTTCCCTATTAAGGAAAACCAATTGCCAAGAAATTAAGAATAATGCCACCCACACCATTTTATTCACAAGAACAATCTTCTGATGTGTAAATATGCTTACAATAATGAACCTATACTTTTTCGTTAAACACTAAACATTGATTCGCCACAGAATAAAATATCATCAGTTAAATAATCTCCATCTGTTTCTCATTTATTTACATAAGTTGATACACTGAATGAAAGAAAGGTTAAAAAATAATGCTCCGCATATCACGAAGCACACCCATTTCTTTACGGACTGTACAATAGCAAACGGTTGATAACAGCACCCTATGCACAGAGCTAATACACAGGGTGTGCTTACCGGAGATCTATGCAGACTTTTCCCTTTCCCGCTAGTACCACGCTGTGTATTAGCTCAGTGTCTGGGAGGTCACTGAAGAGCACATGACAGAGCAATTGGAATGTCCCTTTACTTTATAATAGGAGGGTTTTGTCAGTTGTATGAATTGCACATGTCACTGTCGGAGATGTCACTATAAGTTGAAAGTGGTAAGCAGGTATATACAAAATATCTAACCGTTTCATCATTGGACGGTGCCGTCATTTATGAATATACATAGTTCCAAGAAGCTACCTTAAAGTTAGTCGTGGCTCGACAGACATGATTGCTGATTGTTGAATTGCTTCTGAATGAGAAAAACTAGATATTTTGGGTTTTTAGAGTAGGGAGCAAATGGTTGCAAAACAAGAATCATGAAGTTGGGCAATTGTTGTAATCAACTGCCTGTTGCACCTGTAACTAACAGGTAAAAGCTGATATTTTGTGATTTTAGACAAATGTCAAAAATTACTTCGTGTAAGTACTGAGATTTGAAACACTTTCAATGAAAGCATGCGTGTCGAGTTGGGAGGTGTCAAGTTTTAAATAATTCAATCGGCACGATGTGGGTATTCTTTATCATAATCCATTTAAAGTTGTCATTTCTTTTTCTTTTTTTAAGGTTAGAAAGTTTACATATGCAATAAAGGTACAGTTAGGAGCATTTTTAATAAGGCCAATTTAAATAAAAATCTTTTGGCAATTGATTTGAAGATTCCTCATTTTACAAATGAAAACTTTCAAACACTGTCACTTTATTTGACCTTTGATTAGAATACTTCGTTTGGTTTAGAACGTGATTTATTTCCAAATGTATAGAGTGATAGCAAAAGTTTTTGAACTTATAGCTGAAGTGAATGATGAAGTTAGGTAATGAACCTCAACAATTTGTTTTTGTCTCACAGTGGTCACATAATGCTCTGTATCAATCATGTACTAGCCACAAGGTCAGTCCCCATTTTAATGTTTCTCTTGTTCAAATAAAAAACGTAACAGACATTTATTGATAACCTTCAACCATTTCAAATTGAATGAAGCTTCAAAGCACATTCTCTGTAGTCATTACAATTTTTAAGGTTAAACTTTCAACAATACTACACAATGATATCTTCAACTTTACGGAATCCACAATTGGAATCAAACCAATTGTGAGCTATAACAATCAGCAATTGGTGATTTCCGATTGTCACATGATCGGTAAAACAGTAATATTATGTTATTGTTTTTTTATTCTTATTTTTGGCTAGTGCAGCCTGAAAAGTTGGATTTAAAAGTGTTTGCTCTAACGTGCATATGTTTGCAAACAATGTACATGTAGTAAAGTAGATTCTTCACACAACTGACAAGTTTTCTATTTTTATTTGCCTGTTATTGGAAAGTGTTGAAAAAAAAGAACTTGATGCAGGTTTGGTGTCATATATAGCATTCTGATTTAAAACAGTATTAATCTTTATAAATGTTCAAATAATCACTCTACATTTAAAATTTTATATATCAGTTCCATTACACTGATACAGAAAGTTTGAATATTGGACAAAGTGATGCCATTCTTATAAATGAAAGTGCTTGAAAACCTGGGTGTTCATGGTGACGATATTTGTGGATTGTACATGACTGACAAGTGTTCGGTAAATTTGGGAAGGTCCATTCATGGTTTTTCATAAGTTCTGCTTGGTTAAGAAACACTTAGATTACCTTATGTGGAGTCAAACTTTTTATGGATCTTTTGCTTTTAAGGGACCACCTAGCAATTGGCTCCTGGACTCCTGATAATTTTGATCCCTGAGAAAACTATGTATTAGTTTAAAAGAATACCAGTTTGTGGTTCTAATTAAACAGAAAATAAATGAATTGTGGATATCTAAAGGACTTGCTCTGAAATGATTGATTATATCACTTACTCCTGTTATGATGAAAAAAACCTTGAATTTTTTAATAACATTCTGTAATATTTCATGTATTCCTCCTGATACACTTCCCAGTGGCTCAGCAGTAAGTCTGAAGGCTTATAATGCTAAAAACCTGGTTTTGATACATGTGGTGGGCATAACACAGATAGCTTATTGTATATCTGTGGGTTTAACAACAAACAAACAAATCCTCCTTATAGATTTACATAATATTTAGCATAGAACCCTAAATATCCAGCTGAAAACTCGAAAACACAGAATGCCTATTTAAATGTTATTAAGTACCAAAGTGTGAAAATTGTCTGCTTTGATGAATTGAATTTTGTAAATAAACTGATAAAACTTGAACAAGATATTGGTGAAATTTTCAATGTTATTTTTTTCTGGTAAATTAAGTTTTATTTGGTTTCAGTTTAGGGATAATGTACCAGGTCTTTGGGTGCTAACATTACTATGTTCCTCAAAGTCAGGCTGTTGATAATATTTGTTATTCCTTACCATATATGCGCAATTATTTATACAATTGTGCAATATTTTTGGAAAACAGTCAGTTTTTAGTGATAAGCGAAACAAAAATGTATTTTCAGACACTTATATTGACAATATGACTGTGCTTAGAGGTTTAAATATTGCAGTTATATTGAGAAATTAGTCCATATTTGTACATATGCGAAGAGTTGTGCTTGAAACATTGCAAGTCTTTATATGTGATCAGTACTATAGGGAATATCATGTTTATTTTATATATACATTAATGTTTTATGCTTATAAAGTTACAAATTCAAACAGCTGATACGTACAGTTTTTGTTTTACCGATATAGTCGTTGCAAGTTTTTATGTCAATAAATCATAATGTTCCAAGTTAATAAATACATGATAAATTATGACAAAAGTAGATCTGAGAACCAACTACTTCGTTTATACGTGAAACATTTAGGGCAAATAGAAAGTAGAGTAATGATGTGAGATTATTCAACTGTTTTCCAGGTGAAACATTTGTGAAACTGGAAGATGAAGATGAGCAGGGTTGGTGCAAGGGACGTAAGGATGGAAAAGTGGGATTATACCCTGCTAACTATGTGGAACTTGTTCATACTTAGACAGTATGTCATTCAGCAGCTTTTCTGTTGGCCCTATGGGACCCATATGGAATTCATTCCACTCAGGCTCTTATCCACCACCACCACCAGTAGCCACAGACAGTGATCATCTCAAATTTCCCATTCACTCGTGTCCTTAAAAAAAGTTTTGTGAACCTCTCTCATGAAACTTCCTATAGAGAAGTTCCCCAAGTTTCTGCTGATACTTGTACCACCTGTATGTTTGAATTTTTGTGCAGAACTCCTGTAGTTTCTACGCATACACCCACCTCCCCAAGAAAAAAAAAATCTGCATTGAGAATATTGGTAGAAATCAAAATAGTGTGGTTATTTGAATTCAGCACTGTCAAAAACGTTTAACTTCAAGAACCATGTAACAATTTAATCCCAATATTAAAAATGTGCAGCAATATTTTAAGCTTTTTTTTTCTTTCTTTTTATATTTTATTATGGATAGTTTCTTAATGAAACATCAGGTATTCCAGGGTTGTTGTTGTCAAATATAAACACCTTTAATTTATTGAAAAAAAAACTAATAAAAGAACAAAAAAAATTAAATAAGACCTGCTAATTGAGATCTGTATTTTAAAAGCAGCAGATTTGAGGTTTCTCTGATGTATGAATGTTTTAAATGAATATATATATATAGAATGAGTAGTGCTCATAAATAGTCATAAGTGATTATGTCCATACCTACAAAGTACCAGATAGCTTTAATATAATATAATACAGCTGTGTCAGATCAGGCATTAAATAACTATCAAGGCAGTTAATCAGTAAAAATATTGAGGAGTGTTTGAGTATTAATTGATTGTAAGATAATACCTTCATTCATATAGTGATTTTTTTTATGTTTCAGTGAGGCTTTTCTACTATTGTATTATTTGTTCTTTTTATATTAATTTGATTTTTGTATTGGAAGATAAATTTTCTTGCAAATCATTTAGCTTGTGTATGCGTTGATTTATGCCATCTTTAAAGATAAAGGGTAGCTTTTAGTTCAGCATAATATTTATATGTTAGATCGAATGTCGTGTCATTTTTACTATTTTTCATAAGGAGAATCACTAAAAACAGCAAATAGAACAATATAATAGATCTGGTGAAAATTTTTCTTTGATATTTTGTTTAATTATTCTTGCTGTAACAACGTAAATAAGCATTCGTCTGTTCAGCAGTGAGGTAGATGAAGTCCTTTACGTTTGTAACTCAAATTGGTAAAATAATATGTGAAGTGTACTAGTATAGTGTTGTAATTAAACTTTGCCGAAAATAACTTTTATATCTAATGTTTAGATACAATAACAACAAAGATCTTCCTGTATACTGAATACATAGTTATTGCTGTTGATCATAGTTAGCTGCAGCTGATATAAATGGATATTTGGGTAAATCCATGAATAAGATGCTTATTTTAAATACCTTATACATGTATGAAACTTAAAAATATTGTATCTACATTTTGTAAATCGAAGTACGAATGTGTTTTGTTGTGAAGTAAGCAATACTCGAAAACATGTTAAAATTGTATAGTTTTCTTACAAAACACTTCATGTTATTTCAAAATTAATTTGGCAAAAAGATAATTATCCAATTTTAAAAGAGAATCTTAGTGTTTCTGGGTTACATTCACAGTACTTATATTAAATGTTATTTACTCATAAGTTTAGTGTTTAACATGAAAGTTCTTAAGAAGTAAACTTGTTAACAACAAATTTATAAACTTTTAACTTAAAACAAATATACTATTGTACAGATATCTATCTTCATATAGATTGTTGTTAATTATAACTGGTTATAAGGTACACAAATTAACAAATGCGGTCAATACTGTATTACTCTAAATATAATATTTTGTGAGTGGAATTAAACATTTTAGCAGGCAGAATTGTGTATTTTATTTTATCACTATTTGAAATTGTTTCTTTTTAAAAGAATGATAGTTTAAAATTTTTAACTGAAGAACAAATGCAGTAAAATTTGCACTTTTTTTTTTACAAGTATATGAGTGACCAATGCAGAGTATTGTAAAAAAAATTTTTATTTTTTTTTCTGATTGTATGAGCTTGTATTAAACTCTATGATTTCAAGATGTAACATTTGGTTATGGTAATTTTCAATTATAGATATTTATGACAATACTAATTTTTATAAAATAATTATTTAGTAAAAGTGAATAATAGAAGACACGAGTTCTTTTGTTCACATTTATAACATTCTTGGTAATTTGATGCAGTGTACAGATCCCATCTGTATTGTGGTAGAGCCATTTTGAAGTTTCTGAAAAAGCCAATTTTCTTAAAGCTTTAGCACAGTAGCCTATTTAGCATTAAAGTCTATTGTGAAGAATGTGGTTATGCAATAAATCAAGTCTTTGGATTCATACCATAATTTTGTTTACTTCTCTTTTATCATAGGACTTGTATACTTTCAGAATGTGGCTAGACTAAAAACAGTGAACAAATTGAAAATTTTAGCCATTCATGCAAAAATTTAAAAGGGTATTTAGTGTTACAAGATGTTACACAAGGGGATATTAACTTTGAAAAAAAAAACTTCAGCAATAATAGTGTGAAGTTCTATTTATGGGAAGAGACTGGAACATTTTTGTTGATTTGAACAAGGCCTTCAGATTCCCAGAGGAGTCACTGCTGACTAATCTATGACCAGACACGGTTCTGTGGTCTGCCAGAGCAGTGCTAATTATTGAGCTTACTGTCCCATGTAAGAAGAATATCGATGCAGCCCTGGAATGGACAGATTCGGCAGAGCAGTGACAAAACAAGGGTTAGTGATTCAGTTTGTACCCAACCAAAGTAAGTTTTTTGGACAGTCTACCATGAGGATGTTTAGGGACATATAAATATGTGGAGAGGCAAAGGTCGCTAAAGCTATTATACAGGAGGTGGTGATAAAAGCATCAGTTTGGCTTCGGCAGACAAGAGATGCTAATTGACAGAGCGACCGGAGATAATTTCGCTCCCCCTCCCCCAGTAGCACAGCGTTATGTCTGCAGACTTAAAATGCTAGAAACTGGGTTTCGATACCCTTGGTGGTCAGAGCACAGATAGCCCATTGTGTAGCTTTGTGCTTAATTTCAAACAAACAAACTATTTAATTAACATGACAACCGCACGCTATACATTCAGTTAGAATTTATGTAAATCAATTGGAGCTTTGTACTATCAGTTACGGTTTGTGTTTTAGTGAGAAACTCTTGAAGAAGCTGTAAACCGAGACTTTGAGTGTCCAGTTAAAGAAAAAGAATAAGGTCGTTTATTACTATTGTTACGTATCTGCTCGTTTGTTGATTTCCGGTATAAATTCTTTCTGAGGAACTTCAGCAATACAAGTCCTTTCTTAATTAAAACTAGTTTATTCTTTCTCGATACAACTTTATAATACACAGAATTTCCACAGTCACTTTAAACTTAACCTTTATAACACACATTATAAATCGCAGTGAGTCACACACACTTTACTTACAGTGCCTACTGTTCGCTTGACTCAATTATCTCTATCTTCAATCTATCTGCCTGATCACGCTGTTTTTTCACGCCAGGCTTATATACTAAAAAAGAGGGCACCTCGAGCAAACTAGAGTTGCCACGAAAATAAATGATCCTTCTAGAAACTACAGCGTGCATGATCCCAGCATCGCGTGACTTTTGCTGTTGTAACACTACCCCTTCCTTAGTATTGCTCATCCTGAACAATAGCCACTTACATTAAACCAATAGATAATTAACAATAACTTGTACAGAATTTACAAACACAAAATTAAAATACAACAAAGTCTCTTAATTTTACAGGATGTATCTTCTTCCGTACTGGTCTCTGTCTCCTTGGCTTCTGCTTCACGTGTGGTTCATCTGCTCCATCAGGAAATGTCCCATTATTGGTAACAGTCACATCAGTGGTAGTAACTTCATTAATGGCTTCACTGTTTTCCTTCTCAAAACCGGGTAGAGTTTCTTCTCCAACAGTGGCTTTTCAGGTGACACATTTGCAGCAGTGTCATTTGTTCTGTTGTTCACTTCGTTCCAACTGAAATGTCCTGGACCGTGATAACACCAAAGCCTGTTGACATGCACCACCTTTGGCTTACCTTACAGACCACATTTTATTCGAAAAGTCACGTCTGAGAGACGATCCACTATGTCATATGGGCCTTCCCATGGAGAAGACAACTTAGGAGACTTCCCTTTGGTCTTCCTGGGATTATACAACCATACCTTGTCTCCTGGTACAAAGCTGTCTTCAGTAGACTTCTTATCATAACATAGCATCATGGAATCAGAAAACGTTTTCAAGTTTGAACGCACTTGATGGTGAATATCATTCATCCTTTCAGATAACACTTTCACGACCAAACATCAACTTTGCTG